ATGGTCTTGAATGTGCTTAGAACCGAACACTATGGGCTGAGGAGACAGGAGGATTGTTGGGGTTTGCTGACCAGCCAAGCCAACAAACGTGAGTCTCTCCAGGTTCAGAGAGAGACTCTGCTTCAAAGGGCTAAGGCAGAGGGTGATAGAGGAGGACAGCCAACACCCTCCTCTGGCCTCTTTAAGCATACACAAGTGCATATACCCCCATATGAAGCATATACACATGCATGTACACACCACACACACACACACACACACACACACACACACACACACAAAGAAAAACCATAGGACTTGCAAAGAGTTCATTCTACACTAACCAGGAGATCATTTACTGTCCTAGTACCTACGACAGAATTTCAAATTGCCCAACTAGTAGACACTGAGAGACTTTCAACCCCAGGATCACATGCCATAATAACATTATGACTAAGTGAAAGGTGCTTTCTTTTATAAAGTGGGAACAATAATCATTCATGAGAAAGGAAGTTACATATCTGAGAAATAAGTCGATGGGTAAATTCACTTCAGAGCACAGTGCTGTGGAAGTCTAGGGTCTAGATGCATTTCTGAAAACATTCAGGTGTCCACGCTGGCCTTGGAAGAGGTCCGCACTCACCAGAAGCGGTCCAGTGTAAGTTAAGTACTAATGGTAAATGCACTGTAAAGACTGGGCACTTTGTAGTGCACTTGGGGCTGGAGGGCTGGCTCAGCAGTTAAATGCACTGGCTGCCCTTCCAGAGGACCCAGGTTTGATTCCCAGCACCCACATGGTGGCTAACAACCATCCATAACTCCAGTTCCAGGGGATCTGACACCCTCTTCTGACCTCCATGGGCAATGCACAACAGGAGTGTGCTTACACACATACAGGCAGGACACTCATACATATAAAATATAGTAATAATAATAAATGAAGTAATATCTAAAATATATTTTTTAAAAAGACTGTGCTTCCAGAGAAAATTTCTATTCCTTTGAATTTTATGGTTCAAATATATTATTGGCATTCTAAACTATGAAGGTCCCACAATCTTGGGGCTCAAACCTCATGAATGAACATGTTGACTGTCCCACATAAAAAGTCCCTGTGAGATGGCATGTAGTAAAAGTAGATGGAAGTGTTGGGCTAGTGCAAAGCCAGGAAATGCCGTGCTGTGGTTGGGAAATGCCATGCAATAGTGCAGGTACCCAAGGAAAGAAACAGGGTTTCAGGGCCATAGGCCACAGGCGGGAAGTACGTGTGCGCCCAGAACTCAATGAGTAAGAATTAAAACTTTAACAGGCTGATTAGGCCTGCGTTTTTCTGAACAGGGGTCTGACAGGCTGAATCACACCCAGCAAGCTTGGATAGCTGCAAAGCTGCTCCCTGGGTGGCTAGCCCCCCTGCTGTGGTGCACTTTCCTCCTTGTTCAGAGTTTTTCTCAGGGATTTTCTGGAAATATCCAAGTATGCATCCACAGAGTAAAAGGCAAATGGTTTTCTGTCCTTTGAAGGCCCTGTTACAGGAGACCAGCACTTTCACAGAGTACAGACCCAGCGTCTTCTACACATGTCTCTCACCCCTGTCCAAGCCAGTCCCCACACAGCTGGCACACCAGCTCTGGACAACAGAAACAGAACACAGTCCCTCCCTTCTTTAAGCCTCCCAATGGCCTTCCACACTGTTTAGGATAAGGCTTGATCTGTAGTTGCCCTGAAGGCATGCTATATGGGAACTCACTCTTGCCAACCTACCAGTCAACTGGCAACTTGTGTGAGCTGATTCCTGAAGACAGTTGTGATTACTATTAAATTTATGCAGCCAAACAATTAGATGCACCACATGAAAATGTCAGGAAGAGCAGTCAGCGCTCAGTGCGTCCTACTTTTGAAATCATTTCCCTCTTTGTTCTTGAGGCTATTATTATGTATGTTGTATTTATTTACGTGGTGGCCATTCTAAGGGGTCACGTGTAGCCGCATGTTTCTCTTCACACATGTCTCTCCCATGCCGCATGGTGGCAGTTCTATCCAATCCCATGCAGCATCTCTCCTGACACTACTTCATCTGACAGCCCCATCACCGGGTGCCTATCTTCATCCCAAGGGACCTGGCCGCTGCACAAGCCAGGGCTTTCTTCTCCAAAGAGCTGGCCCCAGAATGTGGACCAGTGCATGCTGGGAAGACATGTTAAACCACGAGTAAAGGGTGAGAAGGGCCACCCAGGCTCATCCTAGGGCAGTGACACTTGATGGCATTTCCAATTCATAGTCACTCTCCCAGATGGTAAATTCAATAATTTTAAGATCATGATATTTGATCATTTGTATTAATTCATGCGAAGTTTTAAATTATGCTCTTTGAACAACCTTTTTCATTGTGTCTCATAAGAGCACAAAACATGTCCTTTAAAAACTTTATTATTCTGCCTCCAGACACTGGAAACTTTCGATTCTTCTGTATTTTAAGTGTGCAACCGTCCTGGAAGCATTACCTATTCATAATAATTCTCTCCTCTCCTCTTCTCTCTCTCTCTCTCTCTCTCTCTCTCTCTCTCTCTCTCTCTCCACTTCCGTCCCCCATAATTTTTCAAATATAGAGTAAATAATTTGAAAAGATTCTGTTTGAATAGTTTGTGACACTTGGCAAATGAGCAACACACAGGTATTTTAAGAGCAATATTCTCTAGGTCCCATTGCTTTAATGTCTATACGACATTTCCTGAACTGCATCGAGGGATCTGAAAATTGAATTCTGTTCTTTTCAGCACTGCCAGAAATAAGGATTTGACAATCATAATCTGTCAGTTTGCTTGACAGAATTGGCAGAGAGCACCCAGTCTCCCTTTCCACGTCAGCATTGACTCAGAATTTCTTTGACAAAAGTTTATGCTTCAAAAGCCCATCAGAAGGATCCTCCATTTTGCAATCATTTACTACACAGACTTTCACCATAACTTTAAGAATTTGAAGGATGGTTCATTTAAGTAAGTTTGATTTAAAAACAAAATTGCTTTTAAATATTCTTTTTAAAAAAAATCCAAGATGCATGTTAAATTCAGCTTCCTCCAAATAGTAAAACAAATTTAAACACTGTTATATGGCTAGGGAAATTTTCTGAATCACAAGACTGTTAATTCACATGCTGACTTCACTATATAAAGGGAAGTGGGGCTGGAGAATGGCACACTGGTCTTCCAGGACGCTCCCCCTCAGTTCCCAGCACCCACGACAGGTGACTTCCAATGCCATAACTCCAACTCCAGGGCACTAATGCCCCTGGCCTCTGTGGCCACCACAGGCACTGTGACCGGGAAGTTCCTCTGATAGGCCATGGTACCACCCATTAAGGGGCGGGGCTAGGGAGATAGAAGCAGGAAAATCAGGAGGCCTCTCTCTTGCCAAAAATGGCTGCTGGGAAGCCACTGGACTTATGTTTGGGTGTGGGCTTTCCAGCGCAGCCCTGAATGGGGTGATCGCCATTTTTGGAATAGAGCTTTGCAGAAAGGTGGGGCAGAGCAGATGCCCCGCCCATCTCGGGGGCTCCTGGGAGCAGGGAAGAGGGAACAAGGAACACACTTGGAAAAGGGGGTGGAGGTACCCCATATTGAGCATGGTAGAGAGAAGGCGGGGCCGGAGACAGATGGCACGTGCATTTTAAATATAGAACAGGAAAAGCCTATAAGAATCCATGTTTTTGTAAGTCACCCCCTCCCAAATGTCATATAAACTATGCAAATTCCAAATAGGATGCCTTATGTTGGTTTGTCAGTCCATCTCAGGACCCGGAGACTCTGAGTGGGGGGCGGGTCTCCCCGCGAAAAGGGAAAATTTAGTGAAACGGGCCTCCGCACACACGAATACATATTTATACACAGACACACACACATACGCATAGTTAAAATATAAGTAGTTCAAAATCCAGAGCTAAGGCTATCTCTCAGCAAGCAGAAGACCTCAAGGCCTAGGGAGTATGTGCCAAGTCAGTAAAAGATGGGAAGTGAACTGCCTGGCAGTGACCTTTTACAGCATCAGACTACGTTCGATGTATCAAGGTGTCTGATTCTCAAAAAACGATAAAGTCCTTGACTTTCCTCGTTATTTTCTGTTCTCAAATAAATCACAAAAGGATCAAGCTTTTTGTGTTTTTATTGCTTTGTTTTGTTTGGGGAGTTTTTTTGGTCTTTTTGAGACAGGGTCTCCCGGTAGCCTCAGCTGGCCTGGAACTCGCTGTATAGACCAGGCTGGCCTCAAACTCTCAGGGGTCTGCCTCTGCCTCCTGAGTGCTGGGATTAAAGGCCTGTGCCACCGTGCTCTGTAAGGATCTAGGTTTAACAAAATCTAAAGATGCACAATTTAGCAGAGATAGATGCTTTTCTTTAAATTATTCAGGTGTAAAAACAAAATTAGGTTCAAGAATATATATTTATTTAGAAACAAAAAAAAATCACAATAATTACAACTTTAAGGACTTAGAAATCCCTTTAACCTCACCAAAGTATCTGTACTGCCCAGTATACCTTTATCATATTTTTGCCTACATTTCTGGCTGCATATGTTGTGATTGGATCTTTAAAGAGAAATAACTTTGTAATATTTTGTAAAGTGAGAAGATAAAGCTCACTCAGTCATTTCTCTAACACAGCTGATCAAATTCCAGTTTTAGTGAGGATAATTGGGGGCATGAAACACATGGATTCACACACCATGTGCTCAACATGACAGATGCAGATTTGTGCTTTGCAAACAAAGGGATCCTGTGCTTCATTCCTAAGCAGACTGAAAAGGCAAGTACATGACACGTTTAGAGTTGCATGGGCTTTGGGGTGCTTAGCTGGAGCTGTCAACCTGACACAGTCTAGAATCCCTGGGAGAAGGGCCTCTGACACGTCCCTTCTTAATTATATTTGTTTATCTTATATTCGTTTATGAGGGAAGACCCCCCCCCAGGCAGCACCACTCCCTGCATTTGGGGTCCTGGCTGTGTAGTGTAGAGAGGGGCGGAGCACACGTACCTTGGTTTAAGGTTCTCTGCTCTTGACTGTGCGGAGCCGTGACTATTGTTGCAGGTTCTTGATGCCTTGACGTCCCTGCAGTGATGTAGTGTAGCCTAGAACCAGGAAATAAACCCGTTCTTCCTTACATTGCCTTGGACAGGGCCTTTCATCACAGCAACAGGAAGAGAAATGGAGAACTGAGATCTCTGTGAAATGTATTCTGCTAGGAAGAAACTATTTGTCTACGAATTGGCAGAAGTCAGTTAACGTCATCAACTATTTGGAGGCGATTTCCCAGTTGGACCTTCGCGTGTGTGGACTCTGTCCCTTCTTTTCCATTTTCATCTGCCCGTTCCAGATGCCAGTACAGTCTTTCCTGGTACAGCGGGCTGACTGCCCCTGCACTCCTACGGCAGGACACAGAGGAGCAGTGTTCATGAAGGTGTCCCTACACCTGAGCTTTTCAACTGCAAGATTGAGTCTTGCTTATCGTCCACTCCCACCGAGGCATCTTACATCTTTTCTGCTCCTCGCCTGCGTCAAGTTGCTCCTTGCCTCCAAGATTTCACTGCCCACTTCCTCCAGGTGTTAGCTCCTGAATTTCCCTTGGATATATATTTTTTTCTTGTCACATGAAATATCAGATCCTGGGGAGGGGAAAATTAGAAAAAGTGTCCTGCTAAAACGTATCTCATGTCCCTTAATGTCAGATTACTCTATTTTGTTTTTGTAATGTTTATTACTGTAGAAAATTATCACATTACTTGGTTCCTTCCAAAAGAATGTTTTATCCACCAGAAAAAGAAATCTGTAGATCTTAAATCACAGCAGTTGGAATCTCTGGCATCTAGATAGGTGCCCACACATCCTGGGAACTCAAGTCTGCTTGGGAAACGTAGGAAAAAGCAGGTAAAAGGCTGGATCTGATGCACGGAGAATTGGGAGCAGGGGCAGGAGAGAGCGGCACACCATCATAAAGGTGTCTGGTATTACCACCTGGAGACACCGGCTCAACACTGTTAGCTTCAGAGCACAGGTACAGACGGTAAGACGGAAGTCACCGTTTACCACCTTGAATCAAGCAAGTGCTCAGTCCTGGAGCTGGAGTGATCAGGCTTCTGAAAGCTTGTGATGAGGCACATGCTCATTACCTAGGGACTGACAGTTCAAGTTGAGACTCTCAGTGGGTTACGGAATCCAGGCATTTCAGCAGAAGTATTTCTTTTGACTGCAGCCATCAACAAACTTGCTAGCAGACGTCATCCTGTTTAGAATATTAAGTCATTTGCTAGCTGTGAATTATCGAAGATATGTAGTTGATAAATTGATTTTCCAGTTTTCCTTCACTATTTTGACCACTCGAGAGTGCTTCCCTTCAGTCAGGCCCTCCACTCTCCTCCCCGTTTGTGGCTTGTGATGGTACTGAGCAACTCTCTCCACTAGAACTAGGTACGTTTCCTACTCCAGGCTTCCCTTTCTCAGAACGCCATAATACTGTAGAATCTTTTCCTAAATGTGTGAAGGAATTTTTAAAGGTATGCATTGATTATTTCTATTCCTTCAACACTAGTGGGTTTTATTATAACAGGAGGCTCACAGAAATATTTTCAGCTCACCTAAGAATGTTAGAATTTCATCATTCCTCCAAAGTGACCCTTTGAGTTAGGTGGTAACCATATCAAAACACCAACATTGCCATCTTTTGATTAAATTGCTACAAAAAAAAATCCTCTCCATCACTGGTCCTCAAATTTTGTTTTGTTTTGTTTTTAGATGTGCTGCCTTTTTAAACAGTGACAACCTGTGACTTTCTCAAACACAGACTAGTGTCCCCCCCACCTCATCGGCCCTAGTCATTGTGTTTTGTTGTTTTTAGATGGGATCAGCTGCCTTTTGATCACTGAAATGTCAGAGAGAAAAAGAAATCATTTTCTCCAAGAGAGAAAAACTTAAATTCCCAAGGGAATCTTTAAAACTTCTGCAGCAGGGACTCTCCACTGAACGTGCATGGGTGACAGTCGTCACTGCCAGGGCCACCAGAAGTCACTCCCTGGGCTCCCTCTAGTTTGTATTTACAAACACACAGACAACAGCTCTTGGTCTTAAAAAGACAAATAAGGCACGCAAAGTATCGACGCAGAAGGGAGCACAGAAAGCACGACCGTGGGTAAATTAGGAAACTCTCTGGGTATTATTTCTCTCATTTCCAAAGTGAACCTCAAATGAAGTGAGTTTTTAAATAGAGCAAGGAAGCTCTTTTACTTACTATGCTACTAAGTAGTCACCATGTTTATCATCTTAACTGTGTCCAATGGAAAAAGCACGTATAAATGAATGTCAAGATATAATCATACCACCAATTAGGTAAGATTCCTTCCCCCACAGGGAGAAGCCAAAGACCCTGAAAGAAGGACGGATCACTCATCTCGGCAAATCCAACGGTTCATTCACCTACAGGGAGAGTTGGGAGTGGTGATGAGGAGGAATGTATCGATTTGTAAAATAAGATACATCTTCAAACCTTCCTAATTGTTTCAGTTATGTACATTTGGAGATTTGTGCGTGATCTTTGTTCTCTCTCTCTCTCTCTCTCTCTCTCTCTCTCTCTCTCTCTCTCT